CCCAATCACTCGTCGCCTCGCCGTCTCTTAAATAAGGATCCGCCTTTGAGGACACCGGAAACTTCAAGGTAAATGCCCCACTAGGTAAGTTGGATACTCCTTTGCCGAACTTGCTTGCCAACCACCTATCTTATTAAACTGTATCATGACGTCTTCTGTACTGACACTACTAAATATGATTATTAGTACTAGCATCAATAGTACAAGAATATTATTCGTAGCAGCATTAAATTACTTCTATCTCTTAGGCAACATGGCACGTGTTATTTTCTACTTGTTATCGTTTGTAGTAATATTGGTCTTGTTGTTGTTATTGTTAATAGTACTATTAACCGCAGTCATAACCACAATAGTCGAGGCAGCCGGGGTATGTACACGATATCGGAGGAACCTGCTGCAAGCCAGCAGTATGTCTGCAATGGTGTGAGGGAGCGCAAAACAATTTACTCTGCATCATCTTGTAACAGTACACTCCAGTTAATTTCAAAACACATAAGAGGATCTAATCAACACAGTTTATTGAGACTTAGATGGAAAAGGATTGACGCTGAAGCGGGGGGAGTGTTGGGACAAATCGAGCATTAGTGCAAATAAAACCAACAACAGATTTTAAAAGCTGCTACATCTCAACATACCTATAGTTGAAACAGTCACATAGGTCTCAAAGGGTGCTTCACGAACGGTGAAATTGTCGACTACTCAATCGCATATTCCTCATTTCTCGTCGTTCCTGTTGAGCCAGATAGGTTCTTCGTCGTGCCATGAGTCTCAATGCAGTAAGGTGGACACTCAGCTCGTGTGGAATGCTTAGCAACATTAATTGACAAAATATACCGAACATGAATATTAATTGCAGAAGGAAGAAAACGACTGCACTGCTCACCAGTCTGCTTTGAGAACGGAGAAGTATATCGTCTTGTTGTATCTGTTGACCTTCAATCGTATCCTCACAGGTATGCACCAGTTCGACATTGAGGTGACGAGAGGTGACCGTACAACCGAGTGTCAGATTCCGTCCACTCAAACTCCACTGATCCACGATTTTGGAGAGCACAACGTCGGGCGTGGCGTATGGTAGCACATGCAATCGTGTGTCCTTTTCTTCCTGCTGCCGTATATACCACACATAGGCCGACCGTCCAATCAGCAGCTGTGGGTTGCAGCTGGCAAATTTATCACTCAACACCAAACCAGATGTGGTTGGTTTGGTAAAGAAGACCGTATACCTACGTTGCAGGCGAAGTGCCGCTCGTTGGCCTATTTGAAGTGAACAGGACACTGTGATGCGTCCTTGTTGTGCGTTCTCCTCGTTAATTATAAGGGGGTTCGGGAGTACCTGGAGGGTGCCAAATCCCCTCGTTGCTATGAGAACGGGCTTAAGTGGGAGGGGTGAGCGGACATGGCACTGCACACGAGAGTTAGTGGTCAAGTAGTTAGTGTTTTCCGGGGAGAGTTTAAATTCCTGAATTAGATGCAAATTGATTCGTAAAGACACCTGGCTCATAGACGGCCTCTTTGCTCTACTGAAGAGGGTTTGACGTAAATGCTTCGGATGGAAGCTGCAGATGATTTCATAATTGCCAAGCCTAGTATCCGTGGCAAATTCCAGCTTTGACGACATGCGATCGTTGGCGAGCAAGAGAGTCTGCTTATTGAGGCACCTACGTAGAAATCGAGAGCTGTCCAGATCACGCGTAAACCACCGAACTTCATAATTTTCATGAAGGCTCATATTAACGGTGACCGCACATGTTACTGATGCACCGAGGTAAGTTTCGAAAACGCGCGATGTGTCATAAATCCGAGAGTTTTCGGTACCCGACGTAATTATAGGAGGAGCATGATCACCAAAAACGTCTTGTTGAGGTTGTAGCATGTAGGTGGCTGTCGCACCTCCCCGGACTGTACAATTCGCTTCAAACTTCTGCGAAATGGGCTGTGTGATACGAAGCTGTAGCGATAACCCTTCCTTAGCCAGGGACTTCGGATGCCACTGCCAGTTGATTAGGTTAGATTGCAGGATTCTTTTCTCTAGATAGCGGTCCTTTGGGTAGGTAACGATACAGCGCAGGATACGTTCCCCGGTCGCGAGTACGAGATTCGAATCGATTCGCACATTTACTTTGTCAGCAGGTATACTTGTTACATTGTCTATGGTAAGACAAGGTTTGTTGCCTTTACATTTACTAACGCCGGTGCACGTGACTTTTTTGTACTTCAATCGCCCTCCTTTTTTGCATGAACGAAGTTCCAGGTACGCGTAATGCGTTATATGTTCAGTATCATCTTCTTCGTAAAAGGGCTCTCGACAAAGATTTCTTTCAGCATTTTTTACACATTTAATTCGAAAACTGTCAAGACAGACATCCATGCAAAATGGGCTGCATCCCTCACGAATGCAGGCAAATTCCCATTTGGCGCTATAATAACTAGATTCGGTTCCACCATTCTCGAAAGAGTGCACATAATATTTCCAGTGAATTTTTTTGGGTACTTCGACTATAATGTTTTGAATGTAGTGGAAAGTATCGGCTATTATGAAGTTTTGACCATAGATTGGTGAAGGCAAAAGCGGGAGGCCAAACAGGCCTATAAAGTCGCAGAATCTTTGGGTACTGTGCCACCCCCAATACATGTCATACATTATAAGTGGAGTCGAAACACATCCTCGCAATTCCCGAAGATCGTATGGCCATTTATGTACATAAAATTTCACCGCTACGTAACGGGTAATATAATTCCACTTTTCGCAATTCGTCATGCCATAAAAATTTGGTATCTTAGTCCGTGGATTGTCATGGGATGTGCTGGGCTCAAAGATGCTCCAGAAGATCAATGCCAGGCTGCATGCTGCGGCTCCTAGTAGGGGCCTCATTCCGGAAAGGCGCAAGCTTACTAAATGAGGCAACAGGACAATCGAACGAGCTGGCAATTCAAAAGTGTTATCGATCTTTTTCATTGGCCACTTATGCAGAAGCGAAGACGATTGGTCAGAACGTCAGAGGAAATTGAGAGAAGGCACCACGTGATGGTACGACAAATGAATGACAGTTATGTTGACGAAACCATGACCTAATCAGAAAATTAGTCTGATTGCCACTTACATTATAAGCGTCAGCGCATGACCTATTTGCCACTGTAGAAATTTGCTACTTGGCAGGTGAAATAAACAAGATATTGAATGACATTGGCATGTTAAGGTGGGAAAGTGTAGATGGGCAGCTATATTAGGCGAATGTTAGAAGACTAACAAACAACACTACGCCTATTATATGCTTTCAGCATGCGCATTTGCGAATGCAGAGCGCCTATATATGCTTACAGTTAATGTCCAAATGGATGCAGCAGATATATTTTATATTTGTAGGCTTTTTTATTCGGCCGGTTGTCCCAAGTACATGGCGTGGGGTGTACAGCATGGACCTCAGTAATGCTAGCTGAACAAAGGCATCGATCTGCTCAACGCCATCATTTTAATACGGGCAGGTATCTTTTAGATGATTTCTAAGATTCCATAGATGAACCCGTGAGGACATAAGAAGCGCTTTGCTTGAGTGTACTGAAAAACTCTCCTTAAAAATCATATAGCAATCCTACATTGACGATTCTGTGCCAAATTAATACACAATCGGTCTACGTTTTTTCTACTGTACTGTCTGCTTTATCCTGGCGGACAAAACCTTTCTCTTGCACCTCGCGTCGATTGCATTCTTCGCGTTTGGATCGATGCATATTAACAAATATTTTATCCCCTTACTGGTTGTTCCACTGCATTTCTTAAATAGAGATCGCAGTGTAATTTTGCAAGTTCTTGATAACAGTTATAACAAAATTATTTTTGACGCCGACGTAATACGAACATGCCACCTTCGGATGTCATTCCTAGGGTCCTCGGTTTCCTTTATTTGTTTAAAAAATTTTACTCGGATGCATCCCTTACTTTTCGTAGGCCTTTAATTGTAATCTGTTATCTACGCTGCCTTTTAGTTTTATCAAATAGAAGGGATCTCTTTTATATGCCCCGGTAACGCGCCGGTCATCTGGTCTAATTATTTGACCCTGAACGACATCACCTTATTATATTCAGCGAAAAGGCTAAATAGATACAAAAAATACACAGAGCGCAACGGAACAAAGCATTGCTTTGGTTTCTTTAAGGCAGACTGCGACGCAAGAACTTCAGAAACCGCGTCCTTGCTCAGCTCCTACGGAAGACCAACTCTGATGGTGAAGTCACACATTAAAAAACGCTGGCCTGAGCACTTTAGGTCTATTCTGAGTTAATATTGACCGTCGCACGCACATGGATGTGAATCATTAAAAAGTTCTCCGCCTTACCCTCCAAGCATCCATTCGAACTGTGACAAACATTGACACCCTAAGCCTAGGGTCGGTAACCTTTCTGACTCAGGGAGCCAAGAAAGCAAATATTCGGAAAAATAGTTTAGTGAGAGCCATATAGTATATTTTAAGATTAACTTCGATTAAATAAGAGTATAACAAGCCTCTGGATTTATTCTTTTAAATAATGTTCTTATAATACTCATTGTTAATGTGAATTCTGGCGCTGCATGGATTCGCTGATGGCTTTGTAGTCTGGTTGGTGGTTGGTGAGGTTAAACTTCATGCAAGCGTCAAATGTTAGGAACAATTTATTAGTACATAAGGCAAGTTTTCGCGAATGGACTGTTTGCTTGCTGGTGATAAATGTGTCCGTCTGGGGGACATGAACACAATGGACTATAGGTGACAAGGCAGGCTGGCGTTTAGGTGCAAGATAGCCTTGTCTGCCAGCGTGACCTTGAGGTCAAGTCTGCGGGCTGTCGTACGTT